TACAGACACATCATACACGGTGACTTTAGCATGCCTGGACTTCTTCCCAAAGCCAAAATGGAGTCGCTGATGTTCGTTAAAGATGTCCAGTAGAGGACACACCTGAGATTTATTACAAGTATAATCCTGGTAGCACTTGGAGAAGAGAGAAGCAGGCCTGGAGGCAAGGTGACCACTTGGATATACTGCAGGTGAGAAATTACAGGACTTAAACTAGGACAGAAGCAGCCAGAACGCTGAAGAGAGATGGATCTGGGCGACATTTAGAACACAGACTGGTATCATGTGGAGGATGGAGGAAGAGGGTTATGACCTTAGTTGGCAGCCTGGGTGCTAAGTGAATAATAATCCAGTGCAGAAGGTGATGAACAGACTTTGAGGAATAGGCCTGAATGAGGAGACACTGCAGAGTATTCCGGAAGCAAGGGGCTGGGGAGTCAGGAAGGTCTGATTACACTGGACTGGCTCATCTAGAGGCAGCGCTTCACTGGGAAAAAAGTATTTACAGCTTGGGGAAGGAGGGGACTAGAAAAATAAATCTGTGAGTCGTCACCCTATAGGTTGTAGTTGAAACCATGGGAATGGGTAAGAAAAACAGCCGACGATGAAAGCCTCACGATGACGTTATTGAAGGGGTAAGTGAAATTATGCTACATCCACTCAAAAGGCATTACCACGATCATTAAACACGAGCGTATGAAGACCAAGAGGCAAAATGGGAAAGTGCTCGACATAAGTTTAAACATCAGAGTATCTACGATAACATGGAAGGATCTCAAAAACATTATGTTTGAAAGAAGACAGACACAAAGAGAATTTATTGTGTGTTTCCATTTACATGAAACTCTATTGCAGAATGGACAAAACTAACCTCGAGTGATAAAAATAAGGTCAGTGTTTGCTTCTAGGGGAAGAGGGTCTACTGGAAACGTAACCTAAAGGTGTAGGTTACATGAGTGTGTGTGTTTGTCAAACTGATGGAACAATAAGCATCCCGCTGCATGTAAATTATACCTTAATAATAATAATAATAAAAGAGTGCAAAGTGGTATATATTCATATAAACAAAGGAATATGCCAAAATATGGAGCTATGGGCTATTTACCCCTCACTCCACAATTTTCGTTAATTTTCACACATTGTTCTTAAATAAAAAGAAACTTTAGGGAATTCCCTGGCGGTCCAGTGGTTAGGACCCCATGCTTTCACAGCCAGGGGCCCAGGTTCGATTCCTGGTGGGGGAACTAAGATCCCACAAGCCACGTGGTGCAAAAAAAGGAGAGAAAAGAAACTTTAAAACCTAAAATGCCCATAAATATTTATCAATTACCCATGAAAACGGAAAGCATATATATATTTTTTCATAGGGAGCAGGAA